AAAATAAACCAGTGAACTTCTCAGCAAAAGACAGCCTAAAGCCTAGTGCTTTAAGTAATCAAATTGAGCCAAAAGCTGAAGAGCCCATGAACTTTTCAAATGTTAAAGCAAAAAAAGAAATGTTTGAAAGAAGGAAAACCGAAAGGCCGTTAGAAAGGGAAACACCAGATGGTATTGTGAACCTAACTGTAGATCTTCAAAACAAAATCACAGTTGTTAGAGATCAAAATACAAAGGATTTTTCTTCTTCTTATATTTCGTCACAATCTCAAAATGGTATCTACTGTCACCAACCATACACACCTGCAGCCAGTACTGAAGATATCAGAGAAGATACTCAGAAGCCTTTGCAATACAGGGAATATTTACCTGATAAAAACTCTACCATCCAACCTGTAATAAATTCTAGATGGCAGTTGGGAACAGGAATAACCTCTGAGTCATTGACTACTTCAGTGTTATCTCTTGTACCTGTTCAAATGAAGACACAGCCTCCTCAGGCTATAGAGGAACCCAAGAGATCTTCACTAAACAATGCATATCAACCGATCAGTTGTGCAAATGTTGATTACAAAAAACATTATCCACTGTCTCAGCAGCAGCAAACCCAACATTCAGCTGTGCAACAGCAATATCAACATTCTGGTGCTAAAACTGGTTGGACTCCAGCAATTGTTACATCTCAGCCAATACCTTTAAAGGTGGAAAGACATGATCCAAGTGTTCAGTTTGACATTTTATCTAGACCCAAAATTCTTATTAAGCACGCAACTGTAGACAGCTATGAGAGCACTGAGGAAATCCTGCCAAACAGTGAAACAGTATCAAGTAATGGACATGCATTGCCTTCTGCATCTACCCATCAACTGTATGGTACAATCCAAAATGATCCCACCACACACAATGTTCATAATCTTTCACTTAGTCAGCAACCAGATGGCAGACCTAGACCTGAACCTTCTCCACAGTCTTCTGGCATGCAACCTGTACAAAGTATGGCAACAGAAGATTTTTCAAAAGGACCTCTTGAACTGTCAAAACATTCTAGTCAATACCAAACCCCTGTCACTTATAAGCAGTATTCCACACCAACCGTACCTTTAAAAGTAAGCACATCTGTATCCCAACCATCCACAAAATATGATCCAGTACCTGTACAACCATTACAGAGCAACTTTCCTAACCAGAACTTTGGGGCTGAATTGCAACAACCAGAGGCATCTGTGACAGGATCTCTCGAACTATCAAAACAGTATACTCAAACTCAAACACATGTCACTGTCCAACAATATTCCACACCAACTGAATCTTTGAACATTAGCACATCTATATCCCAACAGTCTACAAAATGTGATCCTGTGCGTGCACAACCATTAAAGAGTAGCTTTCCTAACCAAGACTTTGGGGCTCAATTGCAACAACCAGAGGTATCTGTGACAGCAGCAAGGTCTACCTCTGTTAAGGGTTTGATTTCATTATTCAGCGGTGCTGGATCGCAACCATCTGCCAGTACAATGCCAGCTGCTGCTCCGTCCCACCAGCTTATGTCTACAACCGAGGACCAAAGGACGCAATTTACTGGAACACAGATGACAGCTGATATTAAACAGACCACCCCCCCAGTAACCCCTGCTGGGCTTCAAGAAAAAACTGCTTTAAGCTCACAAAGTCTTATTGTGTCAAGTTCTCTGCCTGTTACTGACCAAGCTAACTTTGGTTCTAGATTGACCAGTGAAAATAATGACATATCAAACAGGAAAGAAATTACCTATCCAGTTACACAAACAAAATCCTTTGAGGACTCTAGATCAGTGGTGGTTAAAGATAAAGTAACTTCTTCCTTTTCATCTGAATCAACAAAGGATCAATCTGCAGCCCTACGGACAGAGCTGGATCCGACCCAATCACTAATAAGCAAATCGGAACACAGAAACAACGATTCCATTTTAAGTGATATAAGCTCTGAAACGTCACCAGTGATACTGCCTATGGTTTCCAACATTAGTGAGTTGCCAGTACATGGTTTGCCTTCATCTCTTTCTCAAGAATATCAGCAACCACTGCCAATGCTAAATGCAATCCCAGAGAGAGAAAAACAAGATAAAGAAAGGCCTTTTCCTGAAAAGGTACTAACAAAGCCATCAGATACCATGCCACCCAAGGGAATTCTGAGTTTTGACAGTTCAGCAGAACCTTCGCAAACACCGTCAGAAGTTGCATCAGAAGCAGGTGGCAAAGAGGGTTCTGTCATCACGGATAAAATGTTTGTACCAGAATCAGACATATCTATGCATGAGATTCTAGAGCATTCCAAACAAACTGTAGTCACAGAGTCTTCCGATGGCAATACTGAGTGTGGTGAAAATTCTTTGTCTAATGGATCACAGGATAAAAGTCAACATCAAAAGTCAATTTACATTGGCATTGGCTCTGAAATACCTGAGACACAAATTGAACCAGGTGACCAAAAACCTTATATCAGGCTGCCCCATATTTTTGTCTCGGCAGCAAGTTCACCAGAAGAAGAGACAAATGAGCATGAGTTTAGTGAATGTAGCACGCCTGAAATCCCAGAGGCCAGTGTTTCTAAAGAAACTGCTCCCGATGCAGAATATAAAGATTCTTTACCTTGTTCTGTTTCAGAGTCTGAGATATCTAAGGAGGCTAGAGCTACAGAAATATGTAGCACAGAGCTATCCACTGAATTAGAACAAATTAAGACCTCTTCACCAGAAATGCCACTTATACTGACTGCAGAAAGTAGTACTCTTGCAGAGAGAGACTCACAGCACATCATGACTGAAAAATGTTCAACTACAGATGATGTGCTCTCTAGAGCTGAAGGAATATCAGAGAGTACTGAAGCCAACGAGCCACAAACTGAACTGACTTCCAAGGATGCAAAATTATCAGTTCCAGACAATACAACACTTGATGTGGTTGAACAACTCGGTGATCTGGCTGGCCAGATTGGCAATACAACTTCAGTAATAAAATCCTCCAATGCTCCTGAAACACTTGACGCTCTAGCTAATAAGAGGGAGAGCACATTTTCAGAAATCGTACTGTCTGAAGGAGTACAGTCACATGAAAATGTGTCACCAGAAGAATTACCTTCAGTCTCAGATGCAAAATTGCCTGAAAACGTCCAACCACTTTATGATGAAACTCAAAAGGATGTCTCCTTGTCTGAACCTAAGCCCAGTCCTGTCAAACCTCTCACAGAGGAAATAATAGTTTCCAAGGAGGACAGTTCTGCTGGCAAGGTTGATCAACCTGAGGATGAACAAGCAGGTAAAGGATTATTTTCTTTATTTAGTGGCTCTACTCCAAACTCACAGCAGACTTCCTCCCCTGGTATATCATTACTTGGTGGTATTCTTCCTGGCTCATCTGCCAAAGACGCTCCTGGGACAGGATTGCTTTCAATGTTTGGTGGGTCAAGTACCCCATCTTCACCTGGATCCAAAGAAACAACACCAACGCCACAAGAGCCACAGGGAAAAGGTTTATTCTCCATGTTTGGTGGAGCCAGTAGTCAAGCATCACCTGCTCCAAGAGGTCCAACTGTTGGAAGTGTGCGACCTAGAGGTCCTCCACCCAAAGAACCTCCAGGAAAGGGTCTGTTTTCCATGTTTGGTTCATCTGCACCTCAGCAACCACCCAGTCCCAGAGGTCAACCTATGGGTAGTGCTACACCAAGGGCACCTTCTACTGGATCTTCTATATTTGGTGGCATACTCCCTGGTTCTACTACAAATAAAGAAACTCCTGGAGCAGGTTTGTTTTCAAAGTTTGGTGGTCTTGGTGCCCAGTCTCAAACTAGTCCTAGAGTACGCCCACCTGGGCCAACTGTTACACCACCAAGACCTAGCAGTTCAGAGATAACAGGAAAAGGACTGTTTTCGATGTTTGGTGGACAAAGCCAACAAGCATCAGAAGCACAATTACCAGTTTCTAAACCACCTGAATCAGAAGGTTTCAAAGTTTCCTCTGTGTTTTCACTTGGTGGGAGTTCTGATAGTAACAAATCTAAAACTGGGTTTGGTCTTTTTGGGATGTCTTTCTTGGAGGAAACCAAACCCGAACAAGAAACAACTGCTTTTGTAAAGGAAGAGATTGTTTCAGAACTAGTCAAACCTCCAGACACAAAGGATAATTTGGAAGAAGGAAAGAATGACCACGTTGAGAAGATAAAACGTGTCTCTCCAGAGCCTCTTTCTGTATCATCAGATAAGGAGGAAATTGCCTCAGAACAAGTGAAACCTCAAGGCACAAAGGATGACTCAGAACAAGAAAGGAGTGACTGTGTTGAGAACAAAAAAATTATATCCCCAGAGCTTCTTTCTATATCGTCAATTCGGATGGAATCTCAAATAGAACAGGCATGCCAAGATGTCAAAGACTCAACTGCAGACATCGATCAAAATGTTACTATATTTTGTTTTCCCTCGACAGATCGAGATATAGGAAATAAAACCACAATACAACAGAAATTGCCCTTTGATGAAAACGCATCAGACACGGTTAAAGCTTCCACTGTGGACACTCATGTCACGACTTCTAAAGAGACACTTGTGGAGGCTGAAAAACAAGTTTGTCAGGCAGAGTCAGAAACTGAAAAAGAAAATAAAGAGATAAAAGACAGCGTAGATGTTGAGAGAAAATTTGCAGAATCAGAACTTGATAGCTTGAAAGACGAAAGTAAGTCCACAGGTGACGAAGCAGAGACAGCTGATATCAAAAGTCTTTCAGAGAAAAATGACACTATGCAAATGGCATTGCAAGTTTCTAGTGAGTCTACCGACAAGAACCCAAGTTCAAATAAAGTTGAAGATAAGGCTGTTACTAATGCAGAGCTAGCAATTTCAGAGATTGAAAAACCAAGTGAGGAGCTACTGAAGGTTGCTGATGCAGATGAAGCTAGTATTACAGGTATAGAAAAAACATCTGAGGAGGCTTTGAAAGTTGCTGCAGAAAAAAGGACAGTAGTTGCAGATGTAGAAAAACTAACTGAAGAGCCTTTGAAAGTTGACAGCTTTGAACAAAAAGCTGTTCTGGAAATAGAAGAATCAACTGAGCACACTTCAGAAGATGCTAGTGAAGAAAATACAGTAAAGGCAGTTATAGAAAAATTAACTAGTGAGCTGGAAAAAGTTGCTGATGAACAAAAGGTAATGACAGATGAGGAAAAATCCACTGAACATACCAATGTAGTTGATTCTGTGGTACAAAAACCAGAAACCGTTACTGCAGAGTCTGTAGTTACTGCAGTTTCAGATTCTGAAAAAGCTGTCCAAGAAGACTCAAAAATCGCATCTAGTGAGACAATAAAAGAAATAACTGAGGCAGAATTAGAGCATGCTACTACAGAACCTGCAGAAAAGGTATCTGAAAGTTCACCTTTGGCAGGAGTGGCCTCTTCAACAAATGAAGAAAAAACCATTGGTACCAACTCAATTCCACCTCTTGCTCCTTCAACTCCTCCACCACAACAACAACCTAGGCCGGGTATGACCAGGCCTCTTGGTCCACAAGTCCAAAGAATGGGAGTACCAAGAATGGCTGGGCCGCGAATGGGAGCACCACGAATGAGTGGGCCAAGAATGGCTGGTCCTAGACAGCCAGGGCCACAAAAGCCACCTGAACCAGCTCCATTTTCTGGGTTTATGTCTATGTTCTCTGCCCCAAATACACAAAGTAAATCACCAACTGTTGGTGGATTTTTTTCAAGTTCAGCTGCCTCACTTTTTGGTTCATCACCTGCGCCTCGTCAGCCACCACCACAACCGCAACAGCAACATCAACAGCAACAACAGAAAAGCTCATTTTTTGGCCTTCCAAGTAGTATTGCTTCAGAATCTCTTACAAGTGACTTACTTGGTATGTTCAAAGGTCCCGAGACAACAAAACCTGAGGAAACTCAACAGTCTGGTACACAGTGTAGACCTGATGAGCTTTCTGCTAGTGTGACAGACTGTGCAATCACTGAAAAACCAGAGATACCTTTATCTGAAGATGGACATGTCAAGAGCACAGAATCTGAACTTCCTGAAAAAGGTTTGGTGGAGGAGACGGAACAAAAAGAAACGGAAGCAGAAGGAAATTCTCTCACTGAATCTATTATTCAAACTACTGAGAAACAATCAGGGGATGATGAACATGTAGAGCATTCAGAAGGGCCAGTTACTGCAGTGTCTGACAAAGCAGCACCACCCACAGCTCCAGAAAACAAGGGCATCTTTGAAATTCCAGGTCTCACTGCCCCAAAATTAGGCTTTTTGTCTGTAGCTGCTGAAGGTACATCATCGATTGGATCCCTTTTCTCCACCTCAACATCTCCAGCCACTGCTTCAAAGGCACCTCAGACACAACAAACTGATGGTGGTCTATTTTCTGGTTTTAAAAGCCTTTCAGCTGGTATTTTCCATGATGAAAAGTCAACTGGAAAGGAGGAAGCATCTGTTTCATCTGTGTTTGGCATGAAACTTACCTCAATGTTTGGTAACTCTGACTCTCCCAGACCTGAATCCACTCCTCCTGTGGTCAGCGTAGAGCCTCAGTCTGAAACTCCAAAACCTACTGAATGTGAGGATCCAGAACCTGATCAACCTTCCCCAGGTTCTGGAGAAACTGAAAGTGAAGATGGCAGTGATACAGAAGGACCAACAGAAACTTCAAAAACAGGAAGCTGTGACAGCTTAGCACAGTCACCTCTGTCTGGTGTTCCTTCGCACTCAGTTTCCCAAATAGAAAGTTTGGATACACCTCAGTTAATGGTCACCCCATGTGAGTTAGATAAGAGTGAAGTAAACGCACCTGATGTCGTGCATGCAGAACTGGAAATGGATCAACCAAAGGAACAGTTAACGAAGGAAGCTATGAAAAGGCTAGTGCAATGTACATGATAAATGGCATTCTTCATTTATCATGCTAGCATAGATAAATGTACAGCCCTTTTCCCGCTTTTCTTTTCCCATTTTCTCCCCTTTTCCCTAATTAGTTTTCATTAGGACACTCCAGTCCCATTCTCATTCTGCAACTCTTGTATGGCTCCATAGCCATACATGGAAACCAGTTACCAGATATCTGACATTATCGAGGCCCAGGAAATGATAACATGTTTAGAAAGTGCTAACCATCAAGTGTAAATGTACTGCAGCTATTTTGTGCTTACACCACCTCAGTAATAGCTTTTGTGACAGTGATGGAAGCAAAATGAATGACGAAACCGGCGGCTCTTATTTATTACCTTTCCACTGGTGAGGTGGTTAAAAAGCCCCACCTTCCTCTGTCCCCTGCAGTTCTCTGAATTATTTCCAAGCCTTAGCCAATTTGTTTATATGAATCAAACTGATAGATTTATCATGGCATTACAGCGTACACCATAGAGGCAGGCTGGACTCTGGAATAAAAGGAGCAAGGAGAAGTGGTTTGGTCCACACCCAACAGAAAGTAAATCGTGCAAGTTAAAGCACAGAGCCAGGAGTCTCAGTCTTCCAGCCCTTGAGTCGATGACTTATGAGATTTATCAGTTTTATCCCTATTACTTAAACAGGTTAACTTTTTCTTTACTAACATGCCAACATTGCTTTAAACTTGCACATGCTCTTAAAAGTTGTGCACAATTTTTAACGAGTGGTGGTGTCAGAAAAGATAGCAACATGCAGAACAAGGAGAAGCAGACTGCAAAATTAGTAAAAATGACACATCAACCAAAAATGCGCGAAGTTTCCAGTGATGGCAGATAGTCACATAGTCATGACCATCAACTTTGCAATCCTGGTGGAACCTCTCTTGACCTGACTATTATAGAAATGTATTTAATCAACTTATCTTCCTGAACCCTCTTAGTTTTCCTTGTTGTGTGTGATATTCTTTGTGATATGATAAAGAGTATCCTTTGACCCTTATATTCCCCTTTGATCCTTTAATGTTTCATTCCAAAATCATGTCTGCCATTGCAAACTGAACTTTTTTTTCAGTATTAAAGCAAATAAAATGTCCACAATCAATCAGTTCCTTACTACCATTTTGTAAATTGCAGATTTCCATATTGATTTTGGAATAAAACCTGGACATTTATACTATTTTTCTGTCTAAATCACCTCCGTATTCTAAATTGTGATGTTGCTGTCTACAGCCCTCCAGATAGCAGCCACTTTGATTCGTCAGGGAACCTCAGCCCAGTCAGCTCTCAGCTGAGCTCTGAGCCTGAAGAGCGCCGACATGTAGAGTCCTGCCACCCCAGTAAGCCTCGCCCTCCTCTCCAAAACCAGCCGTCCAACTGGAACAAGGAAGAAGAGGACGATGCTGAAAAGGACGTGCATGCACTGCCAGAGCCTGGTTCTAAGAAAGATTTAAAGGACTCTTCAGACATCCTTCCTAAACCAACCTTGGACAACTGTGATAACAAGAGACAGACAAATGGGTATGTGGGTCTTGCATTGTCATTTTTAAAAATATTCAAAGTAATTGAGCTGGTAATCCTAACCAAAATATCCATCACTGTACACAGCATTTAGTTTGTGAGATACCAGTAGGAATTATTGGCTTTTAGTAACAAAGTAGTGACGACAACCTACCCAATAAATACTTGTTGAAAAGATGACCTTTCCAGAGGCAAACCCAAACCCTTTACAGCAATGACTTTTCCAGATGTCCTTTCGTCTTTCAGACAGCCAATATATCTGGCAACATTGTCTTCAATGAGTTCTGCTGGATGGGATTGCTGGATCTGTATTAAGACTACATAGTGTCCAAAACGATGCTCAAACTGGGCTAAATTGAGACCAGTTCAGCCAGAATAAAAACAGCCAAATTTTCAGGGATTATTTTTAAACTAAATATATGACTGGCTGACCAGATTTAGCCAAGAAGACATTTAATTTTATCTTGATTGATTTCGGTCTTGTCTATGTGTCCAAAAGCTGATCTCTTCTTGGTCCTCAGTTTCTTCGTAGATGGCCCTCCACCCTGCTCTCCGTCCAAAGTTCGCTGGCTGAAAGCCTACAACAAAGTGAGAGTGAAACTGCACGAGGTAGGAAGACTCTTCCTCCTGTCTCTATACGCTGCTCTTACACACTCACTACAAAAACATATTGCATGCCTTGCATACATTTTAGAATCAGTTCATTGTATTTACTAGAGGTTCAACCCTAGAGAGCACAAGAAATACAAAACAGCCAAATCCCAAACACAGATACAGACACATTGACATTTCCTGTTCCCCCCTCTCTCTCCACTTTCTTTCATGTAATGATGCTTTCTCTCCCTCTTTACTGCTCTGGGTTGGTTGAGTTTCAAGTCATGCCACAGCAATTTGCACCAATTTTGCGCTCCTTAAGGATTTCTGCTTTGATCTGGGAAACTCCTTTTCTTCACTGGCTTCTTCAAATCTAACTATCACTTCTGCTGTTGCAGAAAGGTTTTACTTCCAAGATATGGTACTGCAAGTTAAAAAGATTCATTATTATAGTACCAAACACCTGAGGGTGGTTTGCGGTCGACTGGGGTCTGAGTACTGCAAATGTCATTTCTGGCCTGTTTGTCATTTTGCCTCAAATCACTGTATGCTAAGAAGTACATTTTAGGCTGTGCAGAGACATAAACCCCGGAGAATATAACTGCAGCAATAAAATCAATTTTTGAATAAAGCAACTAATAGGGAATATAGTTTTGTACATATCAAATCAGACTTTAGACTAAGGACGACATAGTAGCCTCGTAATTTTTCTGCAAGCACACACACACACACACACACACACACACACACACACACACACACACACACACACACACACACACACAGAAAATATTTTTATCACAGGCATAGGCTTAATTAGTATGATATATTTCTAGTTTATGTTCACTATAAGAAATGCTTTAACTTGTGAAAATTAATGTATTGTAATTACATTTTCCTTGCATTTCATTTCTAACTAAGTGTCTTTTAGTTCTACTGCACATCGGGTGACTTTGTTAGATTAGTTAGAAAAGTTAGTTATTACCAGTGATTCTCATAATAACTCAGGTAAATTAAACATAAGTTGGAAACAGCTGTTGTCTAAACACTCTGAGCTTTTGCTTTGTAATATTCATATTGTTTTCACTTTGTGACCTAAAAGCATGTGAACACAGTGAATGTGGCTGCTTTACAATGACAATTTGACTATTTTTATTTATAGATTACATGAAAAATCAATGTGGTTAAAACATACATAGAAAACAACCTGCTTAGATTTAGAAAGCCCATGTTGCTCCGATGCATCCATCAGTGTATGAATGTGCGTGCATGGTAGATAGAAAGCACTTGCATAGAAAGGTGCTTGTATGAATGGGTCTGAATGGTTGAATGAGGCAAGTTGTGGAAAGTGCTTTGAGTGCTCAGAGTAGAAAAGCGCTATATAGGAACCAGTCTGTTTACCATTCACTTACCAGTTAATGAAGCCTGAAAATTTGATGAGCACCTGAAGTGATAATCATCTCAATTTGTTTGTGTTTGCATTCATGCTTTAAGCTGCTCTCTACGTCCTGCAACCTCTAGTATGTAATGAGAGAATCTGTGAGGCTGTGTGATCTTAATAAATTGGTTGATCGGGCAGCAAGACTAAATAAACGTTAACACAGTCCATATATCATTAAGTGCTCTACAATAGGAAGAGTGCAAAATATGAACAATGGTATCAGGAAATATATGGCTGAGATGAAGATGTGTCCTACCCTACAGAAGGCTGTGGTCCATGGATATGCCCCCCTGCCCCAGCAACAAACCAGTCATACTGAACAATGTTACAGGCAGTGTAAGACTGCCCTTCAGACTCCTTCATGTTTGTCACACATATTCAGGGTTCTTGGACTACCTGTGCCACTACCAGTAGTGACACTGACCTTCAAAACTAGTGAAAAACAGACAGAAAAGATGAGAAGGGGAAAAATGTCCACCTGCAAAATCATTTCTGTTCTGGGAGTTGTCTCATCGTTGCCCCTCTACTGCTGGTGTTATTAATTTAATAAAAACAGATCAACACTTCCCTCTGCTACTTGCTCAGATCAACGTCCCACAAATGTATTTGATTTGTTGTTATACTCTCAGATGTGTTAAAAAGTGTTCCTGTAATTTTTTTGACAGTATAGCAATCAGTCCATTGTCCCTCCTTTATACTAATGAATAAATGCATGTTCTATATACGTGTGGACTCTACAGCACAGTCTTAACCCTAACAGTTAGTTTGTGGTGTCCATAGTTTTGTCCCTAGATGGGAAATGAGTATCTACACTCACAAACAGTCACATCTGAGATCTGCTTTTGTGTTCATTGTTCTTTGGGTTATTTCACATTCTCATTTCTGATTTGTTTCTTGGGCCTCTTAAATGCCACAAGCTTAGTTCACTTTGGCTTAATGCGAGTGGGTTCACGGCCCCGTGCTGAGAGGAGAGCCCTTGAGCAAGACACAGAATCCCAGTTAACTTACTGACCTACCTGGCAGGAGGCTGACAGAAGTGAGAAGTTTCCATCAGGAGCCATTAAGTTTATGTTAAATTATCTCATCTCCCATCTGTGACTCTGTCTCCTTAAACAATAAAGCTCATCAGCGCTCGTTCATGAATCAAATCTGTCTTTTGACGGCACTTCTTAGGAGGTAAATTTGGGACCTTACACAAAGTGGCTGCTTTGTTAAGTGAGTTCAGTGCGACATTGAACTATTACAACTACAGGTGTGTGTTTACTTGGAATTAGTGGTTCTAGTTGGCATTGAAAGTTAAAGAGCTATTGAAAATGTCAGAAAAAGAACAAGAAATGGTTCATGGTTCCATTTAGTTCTTCGTTTAGTGCCCCGCTGCATGAATTTCTCTTTGAACTGACATGTTTGTGGCTCACAGTCACCTCGAGTGCTTTCTATCTGAAGAAACCTTCAAGTTGTCCTCATAGATTAGAGGTCCTTTGCCACTTTTGTAATATTTCTTTGAATCACGGGCTTGTTTTAGTCTTTTCCCCCCCTTTTTTCCTCTCTTCACCTTCTTCTGATGCCAGCAGCAGACATTTTAGTCATAACTCGTTTTTAAATTCCATTGTTATGTTTCTTATCTTATGAATTTAGATTAATGAACCCACCAAGTGCCAGTTTTAAACTAGATTCAGCTAGCATGGGAATGACACCCTACAATATTATATTAGGTTTAATGTGGAGGTTGTTACTGTCACAGGGTTTCAATGAGACATTATTGCAGAGGTTACTGAATAGGTTAAATTCAGTTTTATTCATATATATTCATACTCTTAGTTTGCAATAACATCAGTCAACTGTGGGTACTTTAGACTCTGAGGCAAAAACTTAAAAATATCACAGGGAGAAATCCAACAACACCTGACAATACTGGAGAGAACTAATTCCCTTTTAACATGAGGACACCTCCAACAGAGCCACATTCAGGGAGGGCAGCCATCTGTCTCCATGGCTGAAGTGAGGGAAACGCAAACAAAGTAACGAAGAAACAAACTAAATATGTGCACATTGGAGCAGGTCGCTGCAGAACAGGAGCATACAGAACAGGAGCCAGGAGACTCAGAAGGAGAGAGCACAGAGGCAAGGCACACACTACAGGAAAAAAGACAAGTTCATTTTAAATGAATATATTTGAACACACGGTTCTAAATGACCTGTGGGCTCTAAGGTTAAACTAACACATTCTCACTCCTGACGCTCGGTCAAGAATTCCTTCTCCACATATTTTAGCCTTATTGTGATTTTTCTGACTCTACACACTAACGTACTATTTTATTTTAGATAAAGGCAAAAAAGCCTTCTCAGACATATCTGTTACATGTCTTATGTCAGTGTTGACACCATCATTTCACTTTTGTCTGTGCCTGTTTCAGATGTGAAGAACTATTGAACCCTATCAGACTACCTTAGACACTGAAAAGCGTGGCGCTCAATGCATATCCAAGTTCCTCTCAGAGTTCAGGTGTATTTGTGATTCCTTTCTAAACGTGGAAAGAATTCTAGTTGCTAAAGGACCTGCCTTTCTTTCCACGTTTAGAAAGGAATCACAAATACACCTGAACTCTGAGAGGAACTTGGATAAAATGGTTGATGGGATATTAAAGATATTAATGAACCTCTGTCATCTCGGCTTTTTGTATTTATTATAACATGAAGGATTTTAAAATCGATTTGGGATTGGCTGAAGGCTCTCCAGAGACCTAATAGAACCGAATTAGAATAGTCCAGCCTAAAGTTAACAATCCCTCAGTTGGATTAATATTTTTGTTCATAATTTTCTTCTTTCAGCATTTTAGAGGTTTTAGGGCGGTTCCACGCATTTGTTTTTTTTCTGAGGTGCGACAAATACTTAATCTATAAGTACACAAACAGTGTCAAAGCTCCAGTGGAAAAGCTTTGAAGGTATTAATATTCTCCTCCCTTTGTGAGATATATTTTTTGGGACCTGCTTTTCCAGTCGTCTGTGTCATTTGTGTTTGGTGCAAACAGAATAAAAGTTCTTAACCTCCTACTTTACAGGTGAAGCCTTTGCTGCCTTTGCAAGCCACTCCAGGACAGATCATAGAGAATAATTAGTTCATCCAGTCCCGAGCGGCTTATCAACAAGAGATCGTTTCTTTAAATGCCACCTTTGATCTTTTGCAAAACCGAGAGGAGAAAGCACATCAGATCCTTCACCTTTCGTGACCAATTACACAAGTATTGTGCTGCTAGTTGATGCTCATTAGCGTGTGTTCTTGGGAGTTCTGTTTGGAGATTAAATGTAGCTTCTAAATGTTCAGTTTTTAGCTAGAAATCCTGTTTGATATCGAAGAAAAGATTTGACGGCTGAACAAACTGCAATCAATTCTTTCACTGGTTATAGCAGCTAATAACTGTATCTCACTGTAAGGCAATATGTCAGAACACATCTATGATGTAATCTTATGCATCACAGATGTTGACCATCAAATCACCAGATATTATTGGAACTGTATTCTACATGACGAGAGGAGGAGCTGTCAGTTAGGATCATTGCTGTAAAAATACATATGTTGGTGGCACATCTCTATTCTGAGACCTCACCACTTTCACGTCCACACGTGGAAATCCAGAGGTGAGGGCGTCAGTGGTACGACCCCAGGACAGACGGAGAAGACGTCAGTGACAAGAGATTTGACGTTGATTAAGTCAGAATAGGAAAGAAAACTGAGATGTTGGATGGAAATGGGATG